AACTTCAAAGTCAAATCTGATCTCTTTTCTCAAATACTGGACCACCAAGGTCCATGTGTGTCAAAATACGTACTTAAAAACATTATGTGTACACTCCACCAGGTAAGTTACATAAATGCCTGACTGCAGTGTCTATGTATTTAAAAAATTCGTTACTTTTATTATTTTAATTGATTCAGTAGTGAATCTGAATAACAATGAGCTCGGGGCACCCATCTCTAAAGGTAAGAAAGGTGAAAAGTTGTCTTTCTACCTATTACCAACAGCTTGGTTTCTGGGACCAAGTGTGCTACCATTCTAGGGTCTGTCTTTCCAGATGTTCAATGAATATGCAAATGTATTCGTCTTCATTTTCTCTTTTTCAATAAAAATCAGCAACTATACATAAGCATGTTTTCCTCTTCCGTTTTCACTTAGCAACACACCTGGGCTTGTTTCAGGGCTGACATACCACACGAATGCAGGGTAATTTTTTTCACCAGTCCCCTACTGATGGACATTTAGGTTCCAATCTTTTACCACTCCCCAAAGTGCCTCCGTGGCTGTCTTTGTGCACTTGGTACATACAGGAAAGAATACATCCACACTGTTCAATATGGCAGCCACCAGTCCTGTGTGGCTTTCTAAATTTAAATTCATTTGAGTTAAATAAAATTTAAACTTCAGTTCCTCTGTCATGCTAGCCATATGGGGCTAGTGCCTTCACAAGGCACTGTAGATAGGGAAGGTTTGCATCGGTCAGGGGTTCCCCTATAAGAGGATTTTGAGGCAAAGGTCTGTGTGTCTGCATGTTCTAGACAGCCTTGTTTCCTTCCAGAGCCTCTAGTTACCTGCATTTTCACCAGTAAGAGCAGAGGGAGAGGAGAGCTCTTTTGTTTCAGGACAATAGTGTGAGATGTTGGAAGAAACAACGTTCCCTGGACACTGATTCCAAGGACGCTCTGTTTCTGTCTGGTGTCCATGTTGCTCCCTTCAGAACAGCTGTTCCCACTTACAGTGGGGTCTCATGCAGTGCAGCGTGTCTCCTCTGGAGGCCTGGCCTCTGTCACATTACAGGGAGCCGCTTTTCTGCAGTTCTAGGACTCTCCTCCCCTCCGCACACCCTGACCCACGGCCCATGTGGTCACAGGGAAAAATGCCGATCCCTCATAGATTCCCTGTCACCAAGAGGTGTCCCTTACCAGGGACTTGGCCCTTGGTCCAGATCTCCTTTTCCTTCCCTTCCAGCTGTTCCCCAACCTGCCCCTTTGGTGAATCACAATGTCCGTGCTACGGACCCCCCCGGGCACCTTCCAGGGCTCATACTTCGGAGCTCCTAGCTGACCTCTGGTAGCATTTTGCACTGTCCCTTCTGTCTCGAATGCTGGCCTCTGAGATGCCTCACCCTCCTCTCCCTACCACTCCACCTGCCCCTTTGCCGTCTCCCCTCCCCCTCCCTCTGTCCCAGATGCCCCCCCCTCCTTGCAGCATTTGCTGTGCTGGTCTTCTTTCCTCACTCTGCTTTGTCTCATCCCCAGGTGGCTCTGGTTAGCATCTCTAGGTCAGGGATGATGGTTACACATTCTAATTCGCCATTGGTTAATTACTAGTCACGCTTAACGTCTTTACACCATCGTGATCTCCTCTATGTCTGCCTGTGTAAAAGCAGGCTAGAAGCAGAGCAGATATTGGATGTTGGACAGATTCCAATGCACATCCTGGCCAAGGCAGGGCTCTGGCACTGGCCCCGCCCGACACTGTTGGGCTCTTGTGTTTCTGCACCCTTTCTGGGTCTCCACCCCCCGAAATTATTCAGCTACCCTGCCCTAGCCCATAGCTGTGCTCTTCTCCAGGACTGTCAGCCCTTCTCCAGGGTCCCCACACCTCATTCCCAGCACTCCTTCCCTCACACCCACCTTATCCCCAGGGCCTAGTGACCGCTGCCACCTTGCTCCTTCTCATCCCCTTCTGGACATGGCTCTCCCACCTCCACCATGCAACAGTCCCTATCTTTTGAACTTCCTACTGTCTGTTCCTTCCTAGACTCTGGGCCACTCAACTGCGTTTAGGGACTTCACATCTCTTAGACCTCTTCTGTTCCTCTTCCTGACTTCCATTTTTGGGACTTCAGCACTGAGACAGCCCTCTTGGACCACATCTTGCAGTAACCTGGCTTAGGCCACAGGGACTTCTAGTTCAGCTTTGCTTCAGACACCCACATAACTGAACTGCACCTCCAGTAAATGAGCTATGGCTAAGACCTGGCTCTCAAGTTCCTTTTTGATCACACCTGCCCCCTTCTCCATCCCATCAGTTGAGCCCGTTACTCATGGTGTGACTGTTTGTTTTCTGTTTCGCCCTTCCTTTTCTCCAATCCTTGGTAAGCTTTGGCCTCCACTTGCCTTCTTATCTAGTCTGAACCCCATGGCCCTCCGTGCCAACTGAGCCATAGCCAGTGCCCTGAAGGATTCTCACTCCCTTACCTTGTGTACGGCGTGGCCAATTTCCAGTGCTGAGGATATGCACTGACCCGTCTGTTGGTCTCACATACCATCTCCTCCTCGAGCTTTCTGTTCCATATCTTAAGTAGTAGAGGCCATTTCCACTCAAACACCAACCACATTTATGCCTGTTTAATGGAACTTCATGTTAACTTAGCCACACCCATCTAGCCTCCCTAGACTGTGAGCTTCAGGGCAGTGAGTGACCGCGCCAGACCTCTGTGCTCTGCCTTTGTGTTTGTGACTAACTCACATTGGCTCAATTTGGCTGAGTGGACAATTTTTGCCTTTGGCAGTGATCACTCCATCACTTTGGGCTGACAGTACTCAAATTTATAAAAAGCAATATGTCTTTCCAAACTAGGAAAAAAAAAGAATAGAGGAAAAGAATAAAGGATCCCAGCGGGGGGAGGTATCCATGCATTTTTAAAAAAGAAATTCTGGAGGCCTGCTGCCAGGAAACAAGGAAGTGTGCCACACAGGCTGATGCCAACACTGTTCATGCAAACACTCAGGACCCAAGCACTGGGCTCTGCCTCTTCTCTGTCTGCCAGAGGGCAAGCATACATCCCACACATCCTCAGGGCAGAGTGGCATTTACCAAAGTCCAGTGCTTTAGCAAAGAAAAAAATGTCTTGATTGGCCAGCCTTCTGGGAATATGCAAGAGAGTGGGGACCACCTTGGAGAAGCCAAGACAAAGGACTGACATGAGTGAGAGTGAGAGAGAGCGAGAGAGAAAGAGAAACGGCTTAAGACAGCAGTTTTATTGGCCACTTGGAGAATGGGAACCACAAGTGTACACCGACAGCTCACGACAGTAAAGCAGTGGGCATTTTCCAACACACTTGGGAAAAGAAAGCCCACACACAACCAGCTCCTGGAGCTTGGGCCAGGCATCCATATCTGGGCTCATGATCACTGATCCTTGAGGTCTTCAGTGTCCTCCTGTTTGTAGGTTCTCCTGGGCTGTGTCTTCTTTTTCAAAGCCCTCTTGTAAATAAAAAAAAAAAAAACTTCCTAAAGCCACAGCTCGAGGAAGATTTCACTTTCAGGAAGCACAGAAGGCATCCGTGCTTGCTTTATGACATGTGCCCCTCACTCCATCCTGCAGCCTGACTCCTCTGTTTTGGTAGTACTGGCCTTGACCTCAAGGCCTTGCACTTGCCAAGCAAACTCTCTACAGTCAAGCCTCCAGCTTTCATGCTACTGTAGAACCCCAGCCAGTGATCAGTGGGGCAGGCACTCAGGTCATTTTTTCCTCTCCTTTCTGCCAGGTCATGGTCACTATTCCTTTCCCTGCTCTCAGGCCTACAGTGATAGTCCTGAGTGCCCACCACCTTTTGTTTATCCTCTTGACCCAAAGGGCCCAGTCCTCTGTTGAAAACCTCCACTTAAGCTTTTCTTCTAAACCCTTTCAGCTGTCTGTTTCTTGCTTGGGTCCTGATAACTGTCAATTGCTCCAGGACCTCTGCCCACCTGAACAAAGAACAAAGCATAGCAAATGGCAAACAGCAGTTCTTGAGTCCCCTTTTTTTTTTGCTCTTCTATTTGGTATCTTTACTTCTACTGTCATCCATGCAGAAATTGCTATAGTTCTTAGACCTTTCATTATACAGCAATTGTTTTAAAGTTCTTTATGCATTGTGTTTTTATGTAGGGTTTTTTTTTGGCAGTGCTGGGGATCAAATCCAGGGCCTCACACACTAAGCAGGTAGATGCTCTAAAACTGTGCATCCCAGCCCTGTATGCAGTTGTGATGGAGCCCCTTCTGGTAGTGGCTGTAACACTGCCTTGGGGTCGCTGGTCTCAAGACCACCGGCACGTCTTGCTAAAACTAAGAGAAGGCAGACACATTTTTCCTTCTAAATTCTGGTCTGAATTGGTCTTTCCCATTCTCCAGTTCTAACACAGCTCCTCCTGCCAATGTGAGGGGCACTTGTGGATTTCACTACGCTGAATTCAGGCAGATCCAGGGCTTGGCTGGCTGGGCACTGAAGCACTCTCCACAGTGCTTCCTGCAGTTGTTCTGGGAGAAGCGCTGCTTCATGTACTTGGCTGCTCCATTTCTGCATCTGTGACTCTCACTCTTGACCTTCTCTGTAAGGACCTCTCCTGTCCTGTAGAGCCCTCGCCCTCATTTTCTGAGCCATACCAGGGACTGCAGACCTTTGACTGAGGTAGCCAGTCCTGACTGGATGCCCTGAGCTGTGCCCATCCGGTAGCACTATGGCTCCACAGCAGCCCACTCTCCTGCACTTCCTGGTTTGGGGTGCCCCAGAGTCCATCCCACCATCCACCCTATTTCTAGCTGTTTCACATTAACCCTCCCCCCCCACTTTGAGACACTCCCTTGGGTGCTGGCACTGCCAAGGCCCACGGAGTTTAAGATGATGAGCGCCACTTACGTGTGGGAATCTGACCACTCCCAGAAAACCTGAACTGCAGACAACCCTCCCACACCCTCGGTGATTTTAAGTGTGTCCACTAACTGAAATCTATCATAATCCGGAGGTGTACAGCAAAAAGCTCTCTCCTTCTGAACCCAAATTACAAGTTGGTAGTGAGAAGAGCTGCACGATGAACTCTGGCCACCTGGGTTGAGGTGCTACAAAGGAAGTGCGTGACACCAGAGGAGCCTGGAGAGCAGGCCCTTCCACCTAGGGCCACACTTCAGTCCATAATCTCTTTCAGGAGAAAGTGGGGATTGCTGTTTATTACTCTGGGAGCAAAAACTCAAAATTACTAGAGATGGTACAGATAATTTTTATTATCTCATAGCAGAGGGCAGAGAGAGCCAGGGCCACAGCTGCATCTGCAGCTTCCCTTCTGTCTGGAGAGGCTCAGTCTCACTTGTGGGCACATCCACCTCTTGTCGTCGATGGAGGTGCACAAGGACGTGAACCTGCCCTGAAGGAGGGCCTGAGGGTTCCAGCAAGCCCTCCTGTGGAGACAGCTCTGACATGAGCTTCTGCAAGGTCCACTGATGTGAGACTTGAAGTCAGTTCAAGTGCAGGCCTCCTCCTATCACAGCCTCCGAGCCTTCCTGGGACGGCAGCCGTTGTGTGGGATGGGGGTGTTGTCTGTGATTGAGATCACCTCCAGGCCCCCCATGGTCAGCCCCTTGATGGCAGACTGGAGGGAGCAGAAATAGAATGGTCCTAGAACAATGGTCACCGTCTCCACACAGTAAAGGGATGGGGAGTGGTAGGGAAGGGGGAGAGCAGGGAGGCTCCTCGGCTCCAGTGCTATCTGCTCTCCCAGAGGTCTCCCTCCTGAGCCCCTCACCCAAGCTCTCAGCTGTCTACCTCTGCAACTGCACTTGCCACCTCCCCCCTGTAGTTTATAACCTGAAAATAGGCTCCTTGGAGGCCTTGGCACGCTTCAAGAATCACACTTCTTTTACTTTACCTGGCTTTACTATGGAGTGTGCACCTCATTATCCTTGTGAAGTCAGAGAGATGTCACCTTCTCTGGGAAGCTGAAGGTCATCCCTCCTGGGCTTGGAGCTCCCTGAAGATCCCCAGCACCCTGGCCCATGCTTCACCACTGTACTCACTAGTCTGTGCTGTGGGACTGGTCTGTGCCAGTTCATGGGAACAACCTTCCCAACCCCAGCACACAGCTGGCACTCATGAAGGGTCTGATGAATTAAACTAGGTAATCAAGACTTGCTTTGAGGGGCTGCACCCGACAGGAACTTCAAGCCATGCCACAGAAACCCACTAAAGAAGACTTTCCCCTCTCTCCACACCTAGCTCTGAGGAGCTCACATGCACTGTGAGACCGGCCAGCACTTACCCAGCGCCCTGGCCCCAGGCCTTTCACCACGACTCGGACGTGGGTCACACCCTTCACTGTAGCTTTCTGGAGAGAAGCGTAAGTGGTTAGTGCACCCCAATCTCTTGCTACTGCTTCAAGGAGGAGGGACATCGCACGGGCAGAAATAAACACGGCGGCAGGGGCAGCTAAGGAAGTGAGGACAGACGGCTGCAGAGATCCGCAAAGTGCAGTGAACCACAAAACTAAAATGCATGGCATCTTTTAGCCTAGGACAGCACTGCCACCTAATGGAGGTTTCTAATTATCGCTCAGATTTTTCTCAGCTGCAAGTGTAGAATTTCAGACCTTGAGGTATCATCTTGAGTTTCAAGGCAGAGCTCAAATATTCACTTAAAAAGTATTATTTAAAATCTTTACAGGTAAATGGGTCTTTTAAATCATAAATGCAGTTCATTACAGAAACTGGGAAACACACAATAGTTGCTCATAAGCCACTGTACAGGAGCTGGGGCTAATACTAGGATTTCTTTAATTGTGTGAGCCCATCCACCGATGGACATTTGTAACATTTTGATTTTTGATGGTCATTAATGCTTAGCAATCAAAATTTCAGGGTGTCAAACTCTGTTTGAAGATCAAGGTTGTCTTCAGGGAAGACTTCTGGCTGGGAGGGTAGAAACACATAGAAGGCTGCACACAGACTGTGATTCCAGGCCAAGCTGGCTCCAATCAGGGAACTGAACTGGCTGCTCAGCTCTGACCAAATCACACACACTCTCACTTTCACCTGACCTTTAGTAGATAATGCTGAAGGTCTTTGAAGACTTGTGATCAAGTGTCTGGAACACAGTGGCTGTTCAATAAATATACCAATCGCAGTACACTGACTATTTGCTTCTAGAAAGGTCTGTAACAGTTCACCCTGGAACTGGTACATATGAGATTCCTCACTATACTACACAATCTCTGAATAAACTATCACCCCCACCCACTCCACTGGTCTTTAAATGGAGGGGAGGGTTTGGTTCTAAAGCCTTCAGTACCCTGGCTCTCTTCATCTTGAAACGAACCACGTGTTTTACCTCTAATAAAGCTAAGAAAGAAGAGAGAGCCTTTCCACACAAGCCTCTTCAAGCCACCTGCAGCATCAGAGATCTAACAAGGGCTGGCAAATACCCCACTGCTTCCCGGCTAATTCAAGAATTCTCCATGATCAGCCCATGGAAGGCAGAGCACAGCACACAGAGAGCCACAGTGCACACACACTCACCGCGGCGGCGGCTATGCCAGCTGTCTGCGCTGCGATGCCGGTGCCCTTCTTGGCATTCCGAAAGCCCTCTGTGCCACAGGAGGTGCGGGCCAGGGGCACATGAGTGGCAGAGACGACCTGGATCTGTGTGCTGGGAAAAGCAGAGGAGATGTGGATGTAAGTGCTGTTCAGGAAGTGACAGAGCTGACCCATGCCCCTAGAAGCCCGAGTGAGAAGGAAAAAGAAGTACACTTGCTCCACTGGGAGTTCATCACACGAATGCTTCTTGAACTCCTGTAGCAAGGATCAGGAAAGGTCGGACTCATCCTTAAGCCTGATGGAAAACCGACAAGTCATAATCTACACAGAGCTCCATAACGTGAGCGGAGTAAGCACCAGCACAAGAACAGGCACAGTCCTCCCAGCGTCTTCTCTACAGCCAGTGCGAAAATCAGGTGTGAGATCCTCGCCTGGCTTTTCTCTAAGAAATCAGACACTTCACTTAAGATAATGCAGGGGTGGAAGAGGGGAGGCAATGGCCTCAGGGCCTGGTGCTTGCTAGGCAGGTGCTCTACCACCTAAGCCACGCCCCCAGTCACCAGGGGATCGTTTTAAAGCAAATCCAAGACTTCTATTTCTTCTGCAAATTGTCATGCTGGGTCACTTCATGCTCAGACGGTACTCTATTCCATGATCAAAATTTACTTTAAGAAAGTGAAAGTTTAAAAATTATCTCTGAAAAGTTAAAGTTATTAACGATGACTTTTAAAAAATCCATAGACATGATTTCTGTTTTCTCTTTGGCTGTCATCACCCCATTTTTTGGGAAGCACACTCAAGGGGGGAGCAAAGGGGCAGCTGGATGGGAGACCTGCTGGAGTAGGTCCTGAGCTTGGGCATCTGCTTGTCGGCCTGCCTACGGCTCTGCCAACTCCCCCTTCCAGGGCTTCTTGCATTTTCTATACTGATGGAAGCATAAGATGATGCTTGTCTGAGGCAGCCTGAACACAGCCATGTAGAAAAGGCCACAGACACTTACATAAATTCTACACCTTTTTTTTTTTAAGGACATAAGTTATATTAGCCTGAGAAGGGAAGGGAAAAAATCCAGTTGCTCTGGTTTTAAGTTTATCCAACAAATGCTGAAATGAATCCTGTGGTATTTCATCTGTGCTGTACACTGTGATCTGTCGTGCTGTTCTTTATGTTGTGTGGCAGGCAGGCTGTGACCAGACACAGATCCCACTTCCAGGTGGGGGCTGACCTGCAAAGCTGTCGAGAATGTCAGTGATGCTTCTGTGGCTGAGCACCCCCATGACACCTGAGTGTGCACCACACAAGAACAATCTTGTCACTTTAAACTCATCATTCCCTTAAGGCAGAAGGCAGAGCCTAGGTGCCCAAGGTGAGTGCAGGAAAGCAACAGCACTGATTTGGAGCTTTACATTCTGGTTAGTTTGTTAACAAGTCATGTATTGGTAACTGCCCCTCTCTGTTACGTATCACCCCTCTGCTCCCCAGTACTTAGCAGGACTTTGATACACTTCCTCCAACTCTCGAGCAGGACCAGGAAATATTCCCAAGGCAGGCAAGAAACCAATGTTCACAAGGTATTTCACAATTTCATGAAACTTAAATAAACTTTACAAAGCCAAACACGATGGAGCTAGCCCTCGGCACCCTGACTTCTACTCCAAGAAGCGTTAAGGCAGAAGAAACCCAGCCAAGACCTGCCTGGTACTTCCTTCCTGCTTACTTGTTGTAGGATGCTTTGATGTGCGCAATTGGGATCTCCTCAAATTTCTTTCCTGCCCACCGCAGAGAGCTCTCCTGACCTGGGACTGGAGGGTAAATGCTGCAATGAGAAGAAACTTGCTTAAAATTATCCTGATTTTTAGAAATCTAAACCACAAATAGTACAGACAAACCCAGAATGAGACCTGACAGCCCTCAGCCTGGTCCTGCTCTAAAGTGCTCACATCACTCCTCTTCCACACCTTCTGGGGGGCTACCAGGTATATGTGAGTGCTATGGGGCTATTTTTTTTTTTTTTCCTGAGGATGTGCCTTGTACTTGCTAGGCAAGCCCTCTGTCACTGAGTCACTGCCCTGACCTGGGGATATTTCTTGACTTGCTGACTTAAGATGTGTCCATGACTTTCTGCTGAGAAAAAATAATCCACGTCCCCACCATCCCTTGTCTCTGCTAGCATAATCACATCATGATTTTCAAGTACTTTATGAATTACTTCTTTTTGCAGTTTAAAAATAGTCAAACTTCTGTTTCTTTACAATTGTAAATTATTAAGTGTGGGTGTTCCAATAAAACTTTATTTATAAAACCAGGCAACTTGTCTATAGTTTAACCCCTACTCTAGACCAGTGGCTCTCAATGTGAGACCTGTCAGTCACCTGTGAGCACCAAGATACTTAAGACCCAGTTCCACCATGGTCTTAAGAATGGCGTGGAAGTCTATTTTTCAAACACCCAGGTGAAGCAGATGTGAACTCATTAGAACTGGGAACACTGGCTTAGCCACTATATTAAGTTCAAAGTCTTTCAGCTGTCTGTCTTCTGACTTTCTCTGGGTCTTCGTTTCCAGGTGGAAGAACTCAGGTACAAATCCAGGCGTAGGTTTAGCAAGGGAAGTCAGGTCGTGGACCTAGGAGATCGGTCTCAGTTCAGAGCTTTGCTTACCAAGCTGTGTGTCTTAAAAATTTAAACACACACAACTGTCATTCAGTGTTCCAGATGGGAGTAAACCTGCTATTCACTCTGCCTACACGACCGTATCAGGTTCATCTCATACCCACACAGGCACGCTGTTTCTAGTTCAACAAACTCCATTTTAGAAAACATGCTATAATCTGAGCAACCTCCCCCATTCCTTGCCCCCCCGTTTTTCCAGGGATATTTTCAAAAACAAAACAGAACAAGAGCACAGTGCACTGCTTCCTGTGGGCCTGATCTTAGAGATGAATTAAGAGTCTCAGCAGGTTGCAGGCTTATCAGTTTACATGCCAAGAAGGAAAGTGGTTAAGTCTTGGAGACCACATTCACGTTTAAGGATGATCACCGCCTCACTGATAAATTCCCCTGGTGACTTGGGTGTCAACAAATACAAAGGTACTAAAATCTGACTGTTACCAGTGTAATGCTTTTTTTAGACAGCAAGAATATGGAACCAGGAAGGATACAGAACATGAATCATTTAACTGAAGGAATGGCCAAAATCAGGTTTTAAACCTCTCAGGCTCGATGGATAAACTAACAGTGATTCATCCGAGGAAATCCTAAAAGAAAAGACAAAGCTTTCTGGCACTGCTCACCTGCCTCTTCCTACCCACCTTCACACCAGTGTAAAGTGAAGGGGCAATCCATTTTCTGATTACTGTCAGATCAGCTTTAAAAACTCAAATATGTAGAAAAACACACAGAGCCCAATTCCTGGCTCAGTGTCCGTTAGTACTCCTGTCATGACTGGCAGTGACTTCAATAAGATCCCTCTGACCTCTCGGCTTTTTGTTTCCTTCAATGGTCACGTGTCCTCTGTGCTACCTTGGCACCCCCAGGATCACACTTTATCAATACTTTATTACCCTATCATAACCTTGGCTTTAAGCACCACATTCCACGGCCACCACCCCTGGCATCCACTTGCTCTCCTGCTATCTTCACCCACAAGGACCTGCAGTCCAACAATTCCACCAGCTCCCTCCACCTCTCACACACCTCATGACCACTTCTCTCCTCACCTGAACCAAATCCAATGCCCCTCTCAATCTCCTGTTCCCGCTTATTTAACTACACTCTCCTGGCAAACCCCAGCCCTGGATAAAGCCCTATCTCCAGCCATTCTGAGCCTGTGCAAATACACAGCAATGCTGACTGGTGCATCTCTGCCTCAGGGCCTCTCAGCCTCAGCACTAAGATGCTTCTTTGTTGTGAAAGGCTGTCCTGTGAGCTGTGGCATGGTAAACAACATCTCTGGCCTGTATCCAATAGACAGCCCCCAGGTTATGACCATCATAGGTCTTCAGGCATTACTCAAAGTGTCCTGAGAACAAAATTGGTCTGCACTGAGACTCTCTGGTCTGCTTTAACGATTTCTAGCATCAAGCAGGCCCTCCATGCTGCCTGGCAATCATCTCCAGTCTGATTACCTTCTGTTCCCTGGATGACTCTTCTAGACCTTCTTTTATCTCCTTAAAGGGCCACCTCCTTCCTGCCTCTGATTGGCAGCAATCTGAATCTCCTCCAGCTTCTGCCTTTACTGTCTCTTATCACACTGCTTCACTTGTGTATTGGCCCTCAAAGCCACTGCTCCAGCAGTGTTCCCACACAGTGTCATCGATCTTTCCCCTCTCTACTGCATTGTCCCCAGCAGCAAAACACAGTCAAGTTCCAAACCTAAAAAACAAACCCAAAGCTCCCTTAAAATGCCCATTTCTCTATTCCCCCTATAGAAAAGCCCCCTAAAGAGCTGACTGTCCTTATGTCTCTTCCTATCTCCTATTCTCTTGGAATCCACGCCAATCAGACATTAGCCCCTACCATTCCACAGAAATGCTCTAATCAAGGTCACCACCAACCCCACATTGTAAATCCAATGAGAATTCCTTTGAGTGCCTTGCTGACCCCTCATATAAGCAGCATTTGACACGACTGATATATCCCCAATTTGCACATTAAAGAAAATCTGCTGCTGGTTGCAGTGGCTCATGCCTGTAATCCCGGCTACTCAGGAGGTAGAGATCGGGAGGATCTTGGTTCAAGACCGGCCTGGGCAAAAAGTTAGTGAGACCTTATTTGGGCATAGTGGAATGTCCTGTGATCCTAACTAGGTAGGAGAACACAGGTAGGAGGATGGCAGTCTGAGGCCAGCTCTGGGCAAAAATGTGAGACCCTACCTGAAAAATATCTATAGCAAAAAAGGGCTGGAGGTGTGGCTCAAGTGGTAGAGTGCCTGCCTAGCCAGCAAGGCTTGAGTTCAAACCCCAGTACCAGCCCCACCCCTATTCCCACAAATCATCTTTCCTGGTTTTCTTACTATCTGGAAGTTCCTTGTCTCACTTGCTGGTTCTTCCTCATCTCCAAAACTTCTAACAACCTACATTGTATCTCTACTAATTACTAGGCACCTAAACTCCTGCAGTCTCCCCATCTTAATAAGTAATGTTTAGGCCAATAAATTTAGGCCAAACATTTGGAGTCTTCCTGTATTTCTCTCTTTTTCTCACACCTTATATTAATAAATCCTGTTAGCTAGACCTTCCAAATATATGAGTGTGACCATGGTTATCACCCTGTTCTAAACCACCATCAGTTCTTGCCTGGATTATCTCAATAGTCTTCTGAAAGCTTAGAAGACTTCTCCCATCTTCCATTTTTGCTCTCTATGATCAACACAGTGGCCAAAGAGACTCCTTTAAAATGTAAGCAAAAAGATCATGTCAAACCTTTATGCAACTCTTAAGAGAAAAAGCTCAAGTCCTAGAGACAGCCTACAGAATGTGGTTGTGCACACTTATTGGAACTGCCACCTCCCTCTGTTACACTCCCATGTTCTGCTCCTTTTCTGTCTGCTGTCTCTCACCTATTGGAATCTAAGTTCTATAGGGGCAGGTCTTTTTATGTTTGGCCAGGGATATAGCCCCAACACTTTGAATAGTGCCAGGCACTGTTGAGTGAATGATCACAACAGAATGTTGGTTTAATTCCCTTTAGCAGCTCCTCACTGCCTGCAGTGGGGTAAAGTATAAAAGCACCAGGATGACAAACAAGACCTTCACCATTCTGATCCTTGTTGTCTTATTAGCCTTACCTGCCACCACACATAAATACACCATGTTCTTTCTAACTGCATGCCTTTACACAGACTGTTCTTTGTCAACAGTGATCCCTTTCAGCTTGTCCATCTGAACTCCCATTCAAATCACTTCTGAGCACCACATGATCAGTTTTGCCTGATTTCCTCAGAAGCAAGACACTTCCTTCACACCTCCAACCAGTTCTTAACTCCATTATGCTACTGGTCAGACTATGTTGGCAATATTTGCATGTCTGTCTTCCTTGGAAGACTGTGAACTACTTGAAGGGAGGAACCGATTTTCTATTTCCAGTACCTAGCATGGTGTCTTGGCAAATAGCAAACTCCCAGTTAATGTCTATTAAATGGATGTGTGTACATGGTCTACATGCAGAGCTAGTGCTGCTGCTACTGGTGGGAAGCTAGATGTCAAATCCTAGGGCTGAGCACAAAACTCACCCTGGACCTTTGACCAACTCCAAGAAGCGTAGGATAATCTGTTCCAGAGTGTAGTGCCCGGCTCTGCACATTTTGTGTCTGAGACAGGGAAAGCTGTTAGTCTGACATGAAATCAGGAAAGAAAGCTAATTATTTATTATACATATTTGGCATTTACTCATTCATCCAACAAATGCTCACTGAGCAGCTACTTTGCGTCGGATCTCATCTTCATTTGATTTTCCACAAATGACCTCTCTAAGCATTATCTCCACTTTTAGATGAGAAAGCTGAGGCTCTCACTGATGGGCACAGGGCTCCACAGGGGGCCAGTGACAGCGTGGAGAATTCCCTGGTCCTCTGACTCGGAAGGGTGGCGGGCAAGAGTGTTGGGGTGCAGGTCTCCCCAGCGCTGGCTCGGAGCTGCCCTCACCTGAAGCTGCCGCGGCTCGGTGTCGCCTCCTCAACTTCCTGCGTGGCAGCCGCGTCCTGCAGTTCCTGGGCGCCGGTGTGGATGGTCCGACATGGGGCCCGGGCTACAGCCCTGCGGAAAGGAAAACTCCGTGAGGTCCTGGTCTGGGTTAGCTCACTGGGGCCCAAGTGGCACTTAGACACGGGCAGGAGCGCAGTCCCAAGGATGGCCGCATTCTTACCCGGTTCCCTGGGACCGAGTCCATGACCGCAGGAGCCAAGACCTCGCATTTCTTACAACCTGCATGACTTGAATTGATCCCAGTGAGGTCCCGTCTGCGGCGTCCTGCGCGAGGCGCCAGCACCATGAGCTCCCGGAGGGGAGAGCGCAAAAGGGAAAGTCATCTGATTGCCCTTGGTAAGGGGCATTAAGTATTTTCATTCCAATTTAAATGTTCTATAAAACTATAGTTACGAGCTCACCTGGAGATTCCTCCCCTTTTAGTATTCCGACATGAGAACTTCGCTCCCCCCCTCATCATGTTAAAATGGTTCGGTCCACTAGGGCCCGGCGCTGAGCTCTAGCCCACCTTGCTCCTGCCGCGTTGCCTTATGGGAACAAAGGATTGGCTGAGGTCCCCGCTGGGAGCCGCGGTGCATTGTGGGAGGCCAAAAGATGGCGACGCCCGTGAGGCGAGCTCTGTTAGGGGTGGCCAGGGGCTGGCGGCAGTTCGGGAGGCTCTGCGGTGGTACCTTGTGTTCTCGCAGCCTGGCCGTTGAGGCCGCACCTTCAAGCAGTGGGTCTCCTTGGCGCTTGTTGGGCGCGTTGTGTCTGCAGCGGCCACCGCTAATCTCCAAGCCTCTGACCCCATTGCAGGAAGAGATGGCGACTCTTTTACAGCAGGTAGTACCGAGATGCGGGCTGCAGGGTGATGAAGGGAACGCGGTAGCTGCTTGCGGGCCTTGGTTCTATCCAAGTCTCTGTGACCTTGAACTATCCGCGAGATGGAACTAGCCTTACTGAGCTGGGTTTGTACATAATAAGCGACCAATAAATCGTTTATTTTCGTTGGCTTTCTCCGTGTCACTTCGGGTAGCTCTTTGGAGATGCTTTCTTCCCCGTTTATTCACCACAGTAGAGGTGGGATGTTGAACAGGAATCAGCCCCTTTCGCAAGGAGCTCGCAGAGCAGATGAGAGAAAGTTTTTGGAATGTGATGTGTGTTAATAAAATACAGGAGGCAGTTGGCCCATCTGTAAGACACCTGTGATAAACTCGGCTGTTTTACCTCACAAGGCTATTTCTGTGAAGGGCAAGTGAGAAAATTTGGGTAAATATGTGTGTAGTGGCTGTCAGGGTGTTATTAGGTCCCCACAGTTAGTAACTAGAGGGTGTTAATTTCCCCCAGAATCTGAAATGTTTTTGTCTTGGGCACTAGAGCTATTAATTTCTCTGGAACACTCTTAATTTACTCATTTCCTTACTCACTTGACAAATAGTCATTATTCAGCTTACAGGTATCCATAGCTCATACGATGCATCAGACTGTGTTAAGTGGTAGAGATGCAGTAGTGAATAAGACAAACATAGCTCTGGTTTTCAGAGAGCTTCAGTGCAGTGCTGTCAGGGGTTCACTCAATGACCACAATCATGTGACTTACTGCAGACTCTGGGGAGAGTTGTAAAGGAAAACACAGAGTATCTGTCCACAGGAGCAGGCAGCTAAGTTTGGTTTTATGGGAAATGTTGAGAAAGGGAGGTTTAAACTGCTATCAGAAGGATGAGTAGAATTCTGGGAGAAAGAACACAAGGAGAAGCATTCTATGAAGAAGAGACAACATGTGTCTGTAAAGTCCCTGAGACAGGAAAGATGAGGAAGATGTGGATCAAAGACTAACATGCTTGGAATGTGATAGGTGGCCGGTCATGCCTGTCTCTGTCCTGTGTTCTTTGTAGCCATCTTGACCCACAATCACATTCTGAAACTTTTGGCAAATGTAATTCAAGGATAAAGGGCAGGAGGCCTTTTTAAAATTGTTTTCTCCCTGTGCAGTGTCTTGATTGTATTTCTGGTTATATTAATTGGTAAACTTTTAAATCTGTCAAGGGTGCTGTTTTTACTTCCTGTATTGCTTTTTTTTTTTTTTTTTCATTTTAATTTTCCAGATTGAGATAGAGAAAAGCCTGTATTCAGACCATGAACTCCGTGCTCTGGATGAAGCCCAGCAAATGGCAAAGAAGAAAGCTGACCTCTGTGATGATGAGCAAGACGAACAGGGTGTATTCCTTGTGCAAGATTTGGAAGATATGTGGGAGCAGAAATTCCTACAGTTCAAAACTGGAGATCGTATAACAGGTTTGTGATCTTTTTAGGCCACTAGTAGGGAGGGAAAGTGGGATATTCTGGTCCCCCAACTGAAGCACAATTGCTTACCTTTTGCTAAGTAATAAATACTTTCTAATAACAAAACAATTTTCAGGAAAGGAAAATCTTTTCCTTATTCTTCACATCCACCCTAATACAAATTTTAAAGGCTTATGTTATTTTTGAATGGGAGTTAAGGGTGTTGGGGTAGCCTTTTTTCTTTCAGTTAAACTTCGTTAATGCTAGCTGAAGTTCACTCCTACTCTGTGTCAGAGTGGAAGAAATTAAGCCATTTCCCTCTAACTCTGTGTTTTATTGCAAATCCTTCTTCATGCAGGAATTTCATTAAGTTCTATTGTCTTTGTTTCATAGATGAAGACTGAAGAATAGAGAAAACAGGGGTCAATTAGGGCAGTAATAGTGTGAAATCCAATGATACTATTTTTTCTTTCTTTTTTTTTTTTTTGTGGTACTGCGATTGAACTCAGAAACTTGCCCTTGCTAGGAAGGTGCTCCACCTCTGAGCTACATCCCCAGTCCTTGCTTTTGAATTATTATGGGTGTTACTTCTTCTTCAAAGGCTCAAACTATGTTTTGTTCTTAAGAGGAGATGTTCAGCTCTTGGTTTCCTATTCCATCTTTCACTTTCCTACAGAGTGTGAGACTCACCCTGCAAGAAGTCAGTTAGAGATGGGTTAGGGTTGTAATCTGTCTCTAATTTCTTTGAGTGCAATGTTGTGTGGTTTTCCCTTAAGGAAGACTTTAAAACTCACAACTCCTTGGATCTGGCAGGTCACAGTTTTCTTGCTTCTTATGACTCTTTTTTCTTTGTAGAAGCAGATAAACAAAATGACCGAACCTCATTGAATCGGAAGCTAGACAGGAACCTTGTCCTGTTAGTCAGACAGAAGCTTGGAGACCAGGATGTTTGGCTCTTGCCACAGGTAGAGTGGCAGCCTGGAGAGACCCTCCGAGGGACAGCTGAGCGAATCCTGGCCACAATCTCAGGTGAGTTCTCTACCTTCCTCTAAATCCCACAAGATTCACTTCAGACTCAGCCAGGGGACTTATAGGCCGACTGTGAAAATGGGCTTAAGGGTAGAGAGTGGGAAGGTTAATGGACACTGATGTTTATAAAAATTTCAACTAGAGAAATCCAGTTAGAAGTTTCTTTGGAACAGGTGAGTGTCTTGTCTTTGTCTTATTCAAAATGGATGTTCCTTCCATTCTCTCAGCCTGCTCCTCTCCTGATCCTTGCAACCTTGTTTGTTGGCACCACTGCTTATTCATTCACTCAACTAGAGACCTCAGGGTTATCACTGACCTCGTTCCATTGTCCATATCATTGAGTCTTACCTGGTCTGTTTCAAATAGTCCTGTCTTTATTCCTGCAGCTTTGGCTGGGATCCCCTTTACTTCTCAGTAGACCAGAGCTTACCAACTATTGTACTATTGATGTTTGGGGCCAGGTCATTCTTTGTCAGGGGATGTTCTGCTTATTGTAAGGTGTTTAGCAGTGTCTCTGGCCTCTGCTCACTAGGTGCCAGTAGCACCATGTCATCCCCCCACCCCCACACCCCCTTCTCTGTGACATCTAAAAGTATCTCCAAATATTACCCAGGGAACAAAATTATAGTGGTTGAGAAACACTGTTGGACTATTGAAGAAGAGGCTAAAGAAGTTCCCCTTTTGCTTTGTGTCATACACTTTAATGCTGTTAGCATGAGCATTCTGAAACACAAATCCCTGTGACTTCTCTGCATGGAATTCTTCAGAGGTTTCCCGTAAAAGGTCAGACTCTCAATCGTAGCCTACAAATCCTTTTTGCCCAGCTCCCAGTCTCATCAGTCTTCCATCTTGCATTAATGGTAGTCCAAGCTCTAACCCAGCAAATCTTTTGTACTCTTTGGATTATGTGGCCTTTTATGCATCTCTGCTTTGGGGCGTGTTGGTCCTTGACAGAGTGCCGCCTCCAGGTAGAGAGTTCTTCCTCTCCTCCCGGTCTCCTGTAGCCCTTTGTGTGCCCTTATTCAACGCACACATGTCATTTTTGCCTACCATTTGCCGGGCCCTCTCTGGCAGTGGTGTCACAGTGATGGATTGGGCTTACATTCTGGTAGAGAATGCACTCCTTCTCCTAGGCCATTGCAGTACACCTGCCGATTAACACATTTCTCTCCCCAGCCAGAAATTTGAATTCTCTGAAGGTGTGGGCAAAATCTATTCCTCTTTATGACCCACTCTCAGCAAAGTAGCTGGCACATACTGATACTTGCTGGGTAAATGGACTTGGTGGTGTAGGTGCACAGTCACTTGACTGGCCGTACCCCAGCATAAGTGCTCCTAACAAAACATTAGCACCCAGTGTGTGTCTCTTGACCCCTTCTCACCAGGGACTTTTTGGCCTGGAGGAGAGGCAGCAAGGTGCAGTGGCTTGTGGGGAATTGTGCTACTCTCAGACTCTCAGCCATCACAGGAGTTGGCAGCTGGGTTTTGTTCCAAGATCTTTGTGTTCAGGGGCTCAGCTGCCTCACACTAAGCCTCTTGCCCAACATTACCTCCTCTGTGCCATGTGAGAGAAGGTTCTACCTCAGCCCTGTGCGTTCCTCCTTGTAATAAGTGAGCATTAAAGCAAATAGAAAAAGGTATATTTATGTTTAATAGATGCATGTAAAGTGAAATGTATTGATTTATTGCAAATATATTTACTGCAAATTTAATATGCAAATAATATAAAGGCAAAAAAAAAGGTGCATTCTTTCTCCACTGGCTCCACACTTCCATGTTTCTGGAAGTGGAGTTAATGAGTCATGTATGCATGCTTAAGCTGCTGATAAGTACTGCCCCCTGTCCTCCAGAAAGTGCATAGCAGTGAATGCTTCGGGAGGAGTGTACAGGAGTGCCTGTTTGCCTAGACCTCACCAACAAGTGAACTAGTTCCCTTTTAGTTTTTACCTGTCCAGTTGGTAAAAATCATCTCTCGTGGATTAGTACGTCCTCTTTGCTAGTGAGATTATCTCTGTTTTATTTATTTATTTTTTGTGTGGCGTCATTATTGCTAGGCAAGTGCTCTATCACTTGAGCTGTACTACTAGCTATTTTGTTTGTAATTTGTTTTTGACACAGAATCTCTCTACCTTTGCCTGGGCTGATCCTCCTGCCTCGACCTGCCTAATGGCCACAATTGTATGTGTGCGCCACCAAGCCTGATAGAGACTGACCATCTTTTTACGTGTTTATTGGCTGTGTTTGTTAATTCTGTGAACTGCCTATTCAGAGTCTTTTTCATGTTTGAAATAGAGCTGCTTTTTCTTTTTAATTTGTTTTTGGCAGCACTGGGATTTGAACTCTGGGCCTTATACTTGCAAGGCAGGTGCTCTACCACTTGAACCATACTCCCAGCCTTGATTTGAGACTTTTAAGTCCATCTTTTCCAGATTATAGAAAAGTAGTATGCATTATTGGGAGCTTGTTTGTAGGTTTTAGCAGAGGAGCGCAGCTACTCACATACCCTTGACTGAAGAACGGTCCTCCTCTATCGGAGATGGTCGTCCTCTTTGACTGAGCCAGCCAGATCACCGAATCAACCCTGGCGATCAATGGGGTGACAGATGTCACAGCCAGATCACCCTCACATCCAGTATGCATTATTGAATTAAGTGCAGAAAATTCTGGAAAGTATAAAGAACATAACCATATAATATCAATACTTAGAGATACCTACTGCAAACATTTTGAATTGTGTCTGAGCTTACACCATATATAAATTCTTCAACTAATTCTAGTAGTGTTTTTGCTTTTTTAATATAAGGAAAGCAATTCATGTCTGTGGTTAAAAATTACCATATAGCATGTAGTGAATGCATCATCAGAAGCAAGTTTCCCTCTCAGAGACAGTCCCCTTTAGCAGTTTTTCAGTCTTTTAGAGATGTCTGTGCATACACAGCACATAAATAGTTTACATTTCTGTTTTCCATATCATGTGGACACACACACACATACGGTTAGATTCCTTTTTTTCTCCTCTTACAACTTGTTAGCCTTTTTCCATATCAGCATATAAATTCTGATTTTAAAACATTTTTAACACCAGCATACTACTTCATAATATTTAGGTATGTGTTTGACTCGTTTGTTGCTGCTACAAGTAAGGCTATTGTTCACGTTCTGTGTACTCAGCTTTTATCACATGTATTTGGGAGAATGAAGTTCTGCAAGTGCAGTGATTAGGTAAAGAGTATGTCCAATTAAAACTGATGCGTCTGGTCAAATAATGGCAGTTACACTAATTTATATCCCCTTAATATATGAAAGTACCGATTTTCCCCTTATTTCTCACAAGCAGTGTATAGCTCAGGGCTTTGTTTGTTTGTTTGTTTTTGGCAGTATTGGGCTTTAAACATTGGGCCTCAAACCTGCTAGGCAGGCCCTCTACCACTTGAGCCATGCCCTTTTTGCTTTGGTTATTTGTTGGGGCAGGGTCTTGTATTTTTGCCCAGACCAGCCTGGAACTGCAATCCTCCTACTTACGTTGCGTGCGTAGCTGAGATGACAGGCATGCTCTGCCACGCCCAGGTTTTGTTGAGATGGGGGTCTCACTTACTTTTTGCCCAGGCTGGCCTTGAATCACGATTCTCCTGGTCTTCACTTCCTGAGTAGCTCGGATCACAGGTGTGAGCCACTGTGCCCTGCTTAGCTCAGAGTTTTTGAACTTTACTAATATGGTTGTTTTTCTGTATCTGCTGGGTATTGTTTCCTCTGGTATCAAAGTCTGCAGATGCTCAAGTCTCTTACATCAAATGGTATAATCTTTGTATACCTCATGTACAGTTTAAATGCTCTAAATTATTTATGCATGTACAATGTAAATATTACACAAATAGTTCTACTGTATTTATTTGGGAATGACAAGAAAAAAGTCTATATGTGCAGTACAAATGCATTCCCCCACCCCTCCCCCCCGAATATTTTCATTCCACAGTTAGTTGAATACATAGATCTATAGTGAGATGTTGTTGTTGTTTTAATTTGTATTTCTTTAATTATCAGTGAGTGAGTACCTTTTAATGTGTATCTATTTTTAGGTGAACTTCCTGTTAATATACTTGGTAAAATATTTTCCAATAGGTTATCATTTTGTGTTTGATTTCTTACTCATTTTTCCATGTAGAAAGATTTATTTTTATGTAGACAGGTACAAACCTTTTCTTTTAGTTTTTTTTATTTTTTATTTTGTATCTTGCTTAGAAAGGCCTCTTCCCTTTTCAGAAATGATAGGGGAAGAGGCTGGGCTTAGAGGCTCACAACTGTAATCCCAGCTACTTGGGAGGTGGAAGTAGGAGGATCAGGGTTTGAGGTCAGCCTGGGCAAGTTAGCAAGACTCTAATCTCAAAAAATTAGCCAGACATGGTGGTGTACATCTGTAGTCCCAGCTCCTTGAGAGGCTGAAGTAGGAGGATTGTGGTCCCCAAAGTGTGAGATCCTATCTGAAAAACAAACTAGGACAAAAAGAGTTGGTAGTTCAGGTGTCAGAGTCCTTGCCTAGTAGGCACAAGGTCCTGAGTTCAGACCCCAGTACCACCAAAAAAAAGAAAGAAAAGATACAGGAAATACATCACATTTTCTTGTATTTGTTTTTTTAAATGAAAAGTTTAGAAATATGGAAGAACTCAGAAAATATTTATTGCCCAGGAAACTACGTCTTTTGTGAAAGTTTAAAGTTTCTGTTGACTCGTGGACTTATGGTGTCAAGTTTGATCTGAGTACTGAGGTTGGGATCAGGTCTGTTTTTCCATTTAGCTAAATAGTTCTTCAGGTGCCATGTAGTAATTTTTCCTCTATTTGCCCATCCTTTGAAATGCTGAATTAGGGTTATTGACCCTAATTGTAGATTGTACATACAGTCTTTTAACTTTATGACATTCTTGCCCTGTAGAAGTCAAATCTGAGCTGGGTATGGTGGTGCTCTTCTGTAATTCCAGCACTTGAGAGGCTGAGGCAGGAGGATCACAAGTTCAAGACCAATCTGGGCTACTTCTGAGTTTCAGGCCAGTCAGGCTACATAGTGAGATCCAGTCTCTAAAAACATCAGGAAAAAAAAAAACAACAAAAAACAAAAAAAAAAAGAAGTTGAATCTGGGGTCCTTTTTGTGCTTTGCATGTGACATCCTTAAAGGCAGTGAACTTTGCTTTAGGGCTACCAAGTGTCCTGGTTCTTCATCAACAGATGGTAACTGGCTGAGTGCAGAAGCTGGCTGCTCCGACTGTCATTCATGCTGCCTAACTGCAGTGCTGACTTCCGGTCTCAGAGCAGAAGCTAGGACCTGGGAATGACCCAGAGAGTTTGGCTTTCATCGGCCAGGAAGTGCATGGGTTCAGGGTGTGTGGGGGGTTCTTTTCAGAGATGGCCCTCCACCTCCCTCATAGGGGTCACTTTTACCTTGGGCTACCAGCAGCTTTCACAGAGACTTCTTGTGAGTTGGAGAGCCAGAATAAATATATCCTTATCTATGATTCTCTTCTATTTTTCCTCCTCAGAAAACAATATGGAAGCCAAGTTCCTAGGAAATGCACCTTGTGGCCACTACAAGTTCAAGTTTCCCCAAGCAATGCGGACAGAGAGTAACCTCGGGGCCAAAGTATTCTTCTTCAAAGCACTGCTACTAAGCGGAGACTTTTCCCAGGCCGGGAAGAAGGGCCATCATGTTTGGGTCAGTAAGGATGAGCTGGGGGACTATTTGAAACCAAAATACCTGGCTCAGGTTAGGAAATTTCTTCTGGACCTCTGATGAACAGGACTACCCATGGATGATGTTCAGACAAGCCAGGGTTAGAGCCTCAAGGCATCCTGTGATTGCCCGCCATTTGCAGGGAATATCAAGCAGCTGTGTTCTGAAAATTAAATAAGTCTGTCATTGTGCAGGGCTCAGCTGACTGGCCCTTTGAGGACTTCTCCCAGTGAAGAGAGAGCCATCTGTTAAGGTGCAGAGAATCACATTACTTTATAGTGAGTTAACTGGCTTACTGGGCCCAAGAAGAAAGAACAGAAGGAAGCAAATTGACCTAAACCTTGAGTTCTGTGAAGCTTGTAGGTCCGTGAGAAAAACCTGGTTCTGTACAGGGTGTTAGCCCTTTTCCATTTTGTTCTTCCTTTCCTTTCCATTTGGTATGAAGGTGTTTTAACTTAGCCTAGGAAATAATGACTTCTTTGCCTCTCTCCCTTTCTTTTTAAAAGTGTTTTATATTTAAAAAAGAATCACGTTATTCCTGTTTTGAAACAGTCATGCAAACTAAACAAGTTCAGTTTATCTCCATTCTACAAATGGGGGAGTCGGGCCGGCCATGACGAGGCTTAGTCAGACTTCCCATCCCTGAGGCAGCTGGGGAAGAATGCTGGCCTCTCACCTCTCTCTTGAGGCTGTTGGCTGTTCAGTGTGTTGTTTGAGTCATCGCTGGTTCCCAGTTCCTGGTACACAGAAGGTACAAATAAACATTTGCTACATGAGTGCAAGAGGGTGAACAAGCAGGTATAACTGTCCCAGGGAAGGATCCCATCAGACTAGTTTCCGTCATCTGGCCTCTGGGTTAACTGCCTGGCCCTTAGGATGTGAGCTTGTGAAGTAGGATTTCTATTTCTATATCAGTTGTAGCTTCGGGGTTTTGCACAGAGTTGGGGAAGTCACTACATGTGGTCCAGGTTAGGTTTCTAGTCCTGATATCCCCCACCTTGCCCTTCACCTCCTACACATGTTCTTTCCTGAGCTACTGTGGAAGGTGTCCCCTCCGTGAGGCTTGCTCATCAGGACTGAAGCCTGGGTACAGCCAGAGGACCAAGATGCACTTACTGGGTTCTTGGAAAACATCATGTATGTGAACTGTGCTGCCTAATGTTAGGGTCTCAGGTACCTCTGACTTAGAAGGAGCTAGAAGGGCGGGAATCACCAGGGTGAAGAGGTAATTATTTTCATAACCACACATAAGATGCTGTGCTCTTCACAGCATTGTTTCTGGTTTTACTTTGTTTTGTTCTGGTTTTTTTGGTAGCGTGAGATTGAGCCCAGGGCCTCTTGCATGTTAGGCAAATACTCTGTCACTGTTTCTTTAGTAGAAGCAGCATTGTTAATTGGTAAGTGAGACATGGTGTCAGGGTAACCTGACATGCTAGTAGTTCTTGAGTTCCCGTGCGATTTTCCCCTAGAACAGGACAAGATTGAATACCTCAAGAAAAAATGGAAAATTTCTTAACCGTGCCTTACTTTATTGCAAATAGGGACTAGCTTAGCAGCTTCAAGAATCTCCAGTAGTTCAGAGCTATGGTTCATGTCTATAATCCTAGCTACTCAACAGGTGGAGATAAGGTTGGTGGTTCAAGAGCAACCTGGGCAAAAAAGTTCACGAGATCCCATTTTAATCAATAAAAGCTGGACATGGTGGTGCATGGCTTTCATCCCAGCTATGTGAGAAGCATAAACAGAATCACAGTCCAGGCCCACCCAGGCATAAGCAGGAAAGACCTAAAGCAAAAAAGGACTGGGGTGTGGCTCCAGTGGTAGAGCAGCTGCCTAGCAAGCACAAAGCCATGAGTTTGAACCCCAATACTGCCAAAAAAAAGAATCACGAGTAATGTTTCTATTATATTCGGCTATCTGGCGAAACAGAATGGAAAGAAGGAAGTTGTGAAGACACCCTTGGTTTTAAAAAATTGATAGAGAAGGTCCCATCCTAAGCCATGTTTTTAATTTTAATGGGCCCACCACTCAGGAAGTGGCGTGTGCCCAGGATTCAAGGCTGCCAGGGACTAGTGTATGAGGCATGGGATTTGACTGCCCGGATCTTCACTGGGCTTGCTTCCGCACTGTTAGTGCTCTGCCTGTAAAATTTTACAGGTTTTGAGTGGTCTTCCCCAAACCCTTTTTCTGCTGTTCTGCAGTGTGATTTTCCAGAATGTAAGGTATTCAGCATTGGAGGGAAATTAGTGTGTTTGCTGAATGCCAGCTTGAATCCTTCGTTGGCAGCCAAACCTGGTCAAAAATTGTTTCTAATGTATCCTTTGGGGAAAGAATGCCAGGGACAAACTTAAGGTGATGGTCTGTTTTAGGGATTGGTTCCTTCAAAGCAGAGAGCTTGGGAGGACAGTGCTGTGTGTGGTGGTAAGGGGGTTTGGAGTTGCAGGTTAAGGTGTGTGTGTGTTTGTGTGTGTTTAAGGTAGGGTGTGTGTGTGTGTGTGTCAGGTTAAGGTAGGGTGTGTGTGTGTGTGTGTTGCAGGTTAAGGTAGGGTGTGTGTGTGTGTTGCAGGTTAAGGTGGAGGTGTATGTGTTTGTGTTGCAGGTTAAGGTAGGGGGTGTGTGTGTGTGTGTGTTGCAGGTTAAGGTAGGGTGTGTGTGTGTGTGTGTGTGTGTATAAAACATGTAAAACAGACTGCTCAGCTCACCAGAAGTTTCATTTTACCTGGGCCCATCCTCCCTTCTCTCTCTGTCATTCCTTTCCCAAATGATTTCCGTCTCCTGGTTCCCCTCTTTGCTGGCTCTGTGGAGCACATACTGCTGCACTTACAAATTTGTTTTCCTGGTAACTTACCTTCATGGCGATCTGTTGGGCCATTTTTGCTTCTAGTTACCACTTTATAAGATAGTCTGATGGTTAAACCCAACTGAACTTCAAAAATTATGCAAGTAAATCAGTTTCTCTCTCCATGAGCACCAGGCTTGGAGGATCAGAAAAACAGGGTTTGAATTTGTGACCTCAGACACATCCCAGCAACCATCACTGTAAACAACAGTGGAGTGGTGAAGCCTTAAGGACAAGAAAGGTGTGAGGCCCTAACCTACAAGGTGCATTTTTATTTAAGCCAGCAGGGTAGATGTCATTATTCCTATTTCATCAATTAGAAAATACACTCAAATAAGTTAACTTGCTCTGAGTTACTTGCTGCTATGTAAGGGACCAGGATTCCAGCTCAGATCTGTGTACACAGCTAGTTCTGAACCTATCTTAACTTCTTTCTTGTTTAACATGAAGATGCTGCTGTGTCTTGGTTGATGTGATAATGTATTTTAAAGTACTTAGCACCAGGCATGACTTGCTATAAACACTCAGTAAGTGTTTCCCTCCTTCCACCATAGTTAGGCAGATCCTGCCCCTGAATTCGCTGTATCATCAGTAGCTGTTACGACTCACACTCTCACCTTTTCTAGGGTATTCGTGGTTGGCGAGTGTTTCTGACCTGTTTGGAAAGGGACATGGTAATGTGGATGTTAATGGATTCCATGAGCCCATCTTAAAATGGCGTGTGGCAGGTCAGTCCCATGACTGCAGCCAACTGCATAGGCCTGTTAGCCCCATCCCACTGTGGGTCAGGCTTATGGGGCACGAAACACAGAAGAGACCTGCTCACTTATTCTATTACCTCAGCAGGGGAGGACGCCACTGAAAGGTCAGCATCTCAATTATTAAGAGCTTACATATTGCTGAGCTGTAGGCACGCACAGCAAGATAAAACCTGTTGGCCCCAAGTCTCAAGGCAGCCCCACCCCCCATCCTTTTCTCTTTTATTTCCTAGAAGCTTCTGGAGCCTGGATTATAGCCAGTCACTTTAGACTGTCGGTCACCTTTCACCTGCCTCAGGATTTCAGTGCTCAAGACAGGAGGTGAGCAAGGAAACTGCTCATTTCTTGCTTCTCAGAGGCATCAGGAGTAGGGGTGGGCTGGTGGGTCCCTGGGAGTCAGGGATGGGGATGGGTAGGTGTACTTGAAGCACTTTTGTGCATGTGTATATACACACACACACAACCTTGGCTACCCTATTCTGCACCATTTTGAAGTGGGGCAAAAAAGCCAGCAGCTGGTTTTGTTGGGATGCTGTGGTGGACAGACACACTACTGATCACTGAAACAGTAGGTTCCCTGCCCCACGTAGCTGCTGAGTGGCTGAAGAAGGGCCAAAATTGAAGAGAGAACACTTCAAATTCTCCTTTGGCCCAGTACAGGGAAAGCCATCCTGATACATTTGGGAGAGGATTCATGAGACTAGAGGCCTTTGGGAGCATCAGGGCTGATAGGTGGGATAACATCCCAGATAACACCATGGTGGTGTACATCTCCTGATCAGGAAGCCTGGGGGTAGGTAGAACTGAGAAGAGGACATCACAGGCTGAAGCTAGGTGAGGATGGAGGGGTGGGGTTGTTTCATGGCTGGTGGGCGGGGTCGTATGCATAAGCACCCCAAGGTGGCAGAGTTTGCCTGAGGAAGGCATTTCTTAGGTGCTGAGAGCCAGTCCCTGGAAACCCTCACACACCTGGCCTTAGGCTGCTGCCTTGGGGCAGCTTCTTCCCTCTCGGGGTCAAGGGTTAGGCATTTGGGAGAATATGAAGAGGACCCAGAATCATACCGAGTGCCATGAGGTGCTCACACACACTTTGGGGATCCAACATGGTGTCCCCTCACATCGCAAGCTCACTCCAGAGTGGGAGCCTGTGGGTGAGAACAGTGGATGGAAATACTGTAAAATACTGGTTAGAGTATGATTTATCTCACATTTAAAGATCCCAGTCTAATAGTTTGAATTCATAAAAGTCATGTGCGTATATTATGATTTTCCAACTCTGCAGTATTCCTTGGTCCCCATTTGTTTTATTGCTCTCCACACATGCTAATCTACAGGTAACTATCAAGCAATGAAATTTTATTTTTTTTTGTGATGCTGGGGATCGAACCTAGGACCTCTTGCATGCTAGGCAAATGCTGTACCACTGTACTACTACCACTGTACATTAGCCCTGAAGCTTGTTTAAATCCATATACCCAAAGGAAGCTGGGCCTCAAAGGTGACAAAGTAGAATCCCTCCCACCCTTTGGGGGACGTTTTTAAGCCAGCAATGGAAGTGATTTAAGCAACCAAGTTGGGTCATTCTAGCCTTAGTTGATAAGAATATGTGATTATGAGTAGAGATTGGAGATTCTTTTTTGACTTGGCACATAGACAAATTTGAAAAGCAGGTGTAAAATTTTAACTGAGCCATGACTGCAAGTTGAAGAATTTAACTTCTTGAGCGATGACACTCATTTGGCTGGAAGAGTATGTTTGTGAAAACAAATTTTAATGTTTCTTGTAGTCATACCTCAAGTAAAACCTCTGAACACCATCATCCTAGCCATTTTGTGTGCATGAAAAACTTAGCATACATATCTATTCCCAAAGAGGATGCATGGCCACAATTTTTCTGCCATATACTAGAGGACAGTTGTGTTCTCTACACCCCCATCTCTGTTTTCTCTCTCTGCCATTGTGCTGTGCTGTGCTGTCTGTCATACACACACACCCTTGAACATCACATCACACAGCTTTGATCATTCACATCACATATACACCACCTTGGACATTCACAGCACACATACATACACACCAAGAGCTTTAAATATTCTCATCACACATCCACATACCCTTGAATGCTCACTTCACACAAAATCCTTGCATGTGTGTTCCTATCACACCCAGATACTAACCCTTGAGATCTGTCTTGGATGGTCACACCAACATACACACATACATTGCACACCTTTTTGAAACTGATACAATACACAAGCATGCTCTTGAATATTCACCTCACACACTGGTCAGGTCATTTGCCTGTTGCTCTTATATTCTTTCCTGCTGTGTTTTGCTTGTGTGTGTGTGTGTGTGTGTGTATGTGTGTGTGTGTGTGTGTGTGTGTGTGTGTGTGTGTGTGGGGAATATGTGTGAGGACCCCTGTAAGTTACATTTCTTGCTAGCTGGATTTGGTCAGTAAGGGGCTGGTGAGAGACTGAAGGGAAGAGAAGTCAGGTATTCCCCCTCATCCTGCACTTAGGTGGCATTCCCAGCATCTCTGTGGTTCCACATTCCCCTAGCAGCTTCTTTGTGACTCACACACTTCCAGAACGGTAACTCCACCTCCTTCCTCTGTCCCTCCAGTCCCACAAGTGCTGGTGGCTTTTACTCCTTGTAATCTCTGGGTTGCCTTACCATCTTCTCTTTCCACTTTTCAGTCTTTCTAATGCTTTTATAACTGGTTCCCTGTATTGAATTCTGTCTTCTGAGCTACCTGGCATGGGCTTTTTTTTTCCTAACTGGATCCTGACTGATGCTCAGCCAACACCCACACTTTATAATATACTGGGGTTCGTCATGACAATTTGATACGTGCATATAAGGTACCCTCTCTTACTTCCCTTATCTTCCCTGATAGTCTCCTCTCGTGTCTTTGTTTTTCCTCTAGATTCCATGTAAGAGAACATCTGGTATTTCTCTCTCATGTTTATTTCACTTAACATGATATCCATCCCCCTCCATTTTCCTCCAAGTGACATGATTTCAGTTTTCTTTATGGATGAATAATTCGGCCTAGTGTATGCTATGTTTTCTTTATTGCTCTGTTGATGGACACCTAGGCTACTACATGACTTGGCTATTGTGAGCAGTGCCATGATGGACATAGTCATGCAGGAATCTCTGAAGTATGTGGGTTTTGATTGCTTTGGATTCATGCTGGAGCAGCACCCATTATTGGAATGTCCTCACCCTTGGCCTATAGCCTTTCCTCTGCTTGTGGTCAGATCTTCCTTGGATCAAACCCCTGTTCAGAGCACTCATTGGAATAGTGACAGCCCTTGCCCCGGCTGCTCCACGTTTTCTTCTGGGGTGGAGCTTGTTGCATCTCTGAATCCCTGAACTTTGGCCCTCTGCAGATGGATTGCAAATGACAGCAGTGACAGCTGCCACCCAGCCTCATGGAGATCCCGATCTTCTTAGGCTG